AAGCACATGAGCGCGGCGCGGGTTACGGTATTGCGGTCCCGCAGCGAACTTCGCAGCCGCCCCTCAGATTATAAATAGCACCATCAAATACAGGTTTTATTGAGTGGTGTGGGTTGGACCCTCTGATACTGGTTACAAGCGGCCATCGGAAAAATCATAACGTCCTTCAATGATTGACCTCTTACTATATCAATACAATATCACATATATTCTGCTGGATTACCTGCATCTAACGTCTCCTGAGAGGCAGGAACACCGATTTGTTGGGAAGCCTTTATCGACACGAGGAAGATGGCCCCACTCACGAGTGGGAAACACGATCACGTTTGCGCCCACGGTAGACGAAAGCTCTACTGGTAGGTTTATCACTTTTCCCGTGTAGTCTTTTGGCTATCGTAACTTCTGAGCAGTCAGAAAGCATGCCAACACCTTTCAAGTTTGGCGATAACACTTTCGACGTGGCCTCATCTTACGTACTGCTACGCAGAATATTACTGATGTTTGTAGCCCCGTCAAAAATACCTCGGCGGGATGCCTGTCGTCGTGCAAGGTTATTCTTCGGATAATAACAGTAGACCTCACTCAGAAAGTAAAATCTGTGCTGTGTTCAAGAAATGTGCAGCGCACTATTTACCGATGTACGTGGGTATCACCCTTCCAAATCTGGCAACCTCTTTCAAGATCAAGAGATTTCGGACGTCAATCGGCTAAATAGGACGATCATTTATGAGACGTTGTTTCCTTAGCCAAAAACTGCAACTCATATACAGGCTGAGGCAATCAAAACGTAAAAGGGAAATGAGTGCACCAAAGCGAAAACCGTTAATTGTACATATTGCTGCTAGCATTTCCTATGAAATCCCATCGACATGGCGTTCGCGAGAACTCTGGACAAGACCCGCTATATATTGCATTGTCAAATTCAAGACCTTTGTTAACGAGACATTCACAGGCCAGAGCCAAGTCTTGCTGACGGTAAGAGCCACCAAAGGGACAACACAGCAAGAGAATCCGAAACGCAACTCACAAAAGAAGGTTATTCTAAGTCCTCGGCGGAATTGCGGGTGAAACTCAGCCATGAACTAAGAGTTCCTACTTTTGTGGCGGCAATCTGCTTTGACCGACTACAGAAGGTGACTGTTGCGATTTTCCAGAAGTTCTCAAAACAGGAAATCTATTTTCCCGAGACGCAGTTCTTGTTTTTTTGGCATTCTTTGACATTCTCAGGCAAAAATGATAGGAAAGAAAGTTCGATCATTCGACAAAGAGCGAAACATCGTACGCAATACTTTTTGAAGATAACGCTTTTCAAAGAACTTTTTTATAGCTAGATGCTAGCTACACAGAAGCACGTGCGCTACGAGCTTTACGACAATTAGGTACGACTGGAGTCTGAGCAGAAAATTCCTTCAATACACAGTCTCCGAAAAAGCTTGGAACCTCAAGGATAAAGTCTTTCGGCGTTAATCGGTCCTTTCTGAGAGATACACCTCCTCAGAATCGTAGCCGCGCAATGAGTGCGTATGTGGCCTATACAATGACTTACGGTGGTCAGCAGATATACAAGTCAGTGTTTTTACCCTCCCAGACAAGTCCGGTACCAATTAACCGACCTCGGAGGGATGGAAGACTCGGTTGGCTAGAGCGATATCGATCCAGGATTCGAAGCCATGACCATGCGTGCGAGATAGTGCGCCATTTGCCACTGCACCACCTGGTCTGCAGCTGCATGCTCCAAGACTTCCTGACTGGTCTAAAGCTTTGACAAAGGCATTAATGGGCGCCCAGCCCATTGTCCTTGTAAATACCACTTTTGAAAAACTGCAGTTTCCGTTATATTTTACTCAATATTTTAGTAACCCATGAAATTTTGTTTTGGAAAATCAACATTGCTACTTACTCATGCTAATCACAGGATACGAGTGCTTGTTAGCGGTGCAGCGGAATTCATTCTTGACAAACAGTTCTTCACGGATGCTCCTTCAATCGAAATGGAGAAAACCTTGCCACGCCCAGAATAAATATATTGACATCTGTACGAAACAATTCTTCTGTAAAAAATGAACAGTTTTGCCAACTGGAAACGCTTTATTTATTACGAAAACTGTTGAGAATTCGATGAGCAATTGTTTTCGGACAATTACCCGATTATTTTCTAAGAAATGATTTTGCAAACAATCAAATACCAATTCGATTACAAAGAAAAGAACAGAAATTATTGGACTCAAGGTAAAAGAACTAGTAGTGATCGAATAATTACAGTGGCTAAGAAAGTGAAGGTGTTAGCAATAACTTCTTATACCGTACTCATGCCCTTACGGTGATGGTCAGACCAACGGCACATCGACACATTAGATGCGAAACACAACAAGGAAGTTCATATATCGAGGTAAATGGTAGAAAAAACATAACATTGACTCAAGACTTTGATTGTAGAACTGCCTTAAGAGGAAATTTTCAAAACTCAACAACAACAACGAAAAAATTGCAAAATCGGCTAGTGCATGCGGTCACCTGCGCTGAGCTGATAGAGGATCTTCGTCAAATGGGAGATCAAAAATCAACGAGAGGTTCAGATCCTTTTATGCTTGACGTCGCGACTTTCCGTCGTGACAGGTGGAGGCCTCTTACGCGAGCTGCTGCGAGACGCAAGCGATTCCCTGAAAGCAAAACCCTGAATCTGATCGTATAGCCCTTCCACAGCATTGCTCCTTCAAATAATAGTTTTTCCTCGTCAACGCAAAAACTACACAAAAAATATAGCTAGAAATATATAGCTATTCTGATAAGATATGGCGCAATCTGGCGAGGTCGACTTTCGTTTTCACATCGTTACAACATCCAATATTTGCGGCGTCCCTGAACCTTTCTTTATAATCGCAACATTAGCAGAATCTGACGTAATATCCGAAATATATAGTACTTCTGCGTCACACTTTCTTCAAAGACGATTGAAAAACATGTCACATTATATAAATTTCCCAAGCACTCCTATACCCACTCAAACCGGTGAACATCGTAAAGAATATAACCATATATAAATACAGACCGCTCAAAACAATGAGCTTTTATAAGCTGGAAGTAATTGAATGAATCATGGTCTCCACTCATGAATTTAAACATGATGCAAGGGCAAAACCCACCGAATTTCCAACTCTCTTCGCAGCAGCTTCAGCACTGCCTTTTCTTTGCCTCTATTGGCATCGATGATCTTTGACACCTCGGTACCCATTCGTGTTCCAACTGTCTTCTGACGTTTTACCAAAACACTGCAAAAACAGTATTAATTATGAGTACCGAGAGTATACTATAAATGCAGAGCCGGACGGTACCTCGATGCTGCTTTAATTCTTTTGTATACTTCTCGAGTTCCTTCAACTACTTCCACTATTGGACAACGGTACAGCTTGGCTACAGCCGCACTTCTACCGTACATGACTGGGATTTTCATCATGTCTTTTTCATCTTTTGCAGCTGAAACGTATAAATCGTCTCACGTTTCTAATTAAACAAAAAATCCTAATGAGCACCTTCATCCTGCGTCGCACAACCACTGAGAGATTCGAAGAACTTGTCCAAAATCTTAACTAGACACTTGGATGAGGCATCTTGCTCCTTCATTTCGTCGATTTTGATTATTATGGATGCCAACGGGTGTTCGGATGAAGAATATTCGAGAACTTTGCGCAAAATTTCCACCTAAAAAAGCCGAAAGGTACAACCATTCAACACTTAACTTCAGCCGAACTTTCTGTAAAATATTGCCAACGGACCTTAACAAGAAATGCTTATAAGATACGATTAAAGCAAAATAGAAGAAAGAAAAGAGTAAAAATTGCACCTGTTCGCCAAAAAGTGAATCAAGGGTGGTCGCCAAAGTCAGAAGGCAAGCTATCACATCTGCCGTTCCAAATAGCTTATCCATTCTGTCGAGTAATGGACGAACACCAGCACGTCGAATACATTCGCGAATCTGGTTTGTTGCACATTTGAAAGATCGAAAAGGATGACGGTATAAACTTTGATCAATCTCTTGACAACACTTATTGTTAGTGCACTCCCTCGACTACGTTAGGGATTGTAGGAAATATGGAGAGATACCCGCTCCACGTATAACAAGCATGCGAAGAAACACCTATTCATGTCAATGTCTATATCCTATGAACGAACGGAACGAAAGCGCCTGATAGCGTCCCTGTGCATCCTTAGAATAAGCAAATTATGGTAATTTCTCCCCTTGAACACTTTCTCTCTTTGACCCTAACTTTTACGATTTCATACTTCTTTCTTTCAGCACCAGCTCTTCACTAGGCTTTTCAAAATTACAGAATTTTCCATACCTGATGAACAGATCTTCGGGATTAAATACAATAAACTCAACAACCATGTAGACATGAAATTTTCTTTACCTACACCCCGAACACTAAACCTATGCAATCGTCTGCTGTAAGAATAAACTTTTGCTACTCTTCCCATATGCACCAATCCAAATAGTCGTATTGACGAGAAAGTCACGTACCACTTGAGTGAAAGGTCCGTTCTGCTCTTCTAAGGCGGCGGACGATGCTTTGGACAGTATTTCAACAGCTCGACTAACTGCAGCGATCTTTTGATCAGGAGTGTTCACGAAAACACAAAGCGAAGACACAATCGCCTCCAATGTACTTGTCACATCTGAACCTTTCTAAGGGGCATTTTCAAAAATTGAGGTGTTCGGAAAAAAAGCAACTCACGACGATCGTTATCAGTTTCTTCAACCAACTCCAGAGCAGTTACCAAGTCATCGGTATCATCTAGAATCCATATATAACGCATTGAACAACGTCTAATGATAACTGTAGCATACCTTCAATAACCTCTACGGATGCAGAGCGGCTCACTTTTCCTTGTTCTTCCTCTTTTTTCAAAGACTCCACAGGAAATCCTGTTAAGGCTGAGCTCTCATTCGAGTCAGCCAAGGGGCATTCTTCACAATCAGAGAACTCCACGTCAAATTCACTGCTCCATAACGAGGGACAGTATAAGCCAGAAATCAGATCCTAAAGAAACAATGGATCGAATAAAAAAAATCCTTCACTAATTAAGCTAATTTACATACCAGAACTGCATTCTGGAATCGCGATTGCCGCTCACTTTCAAATGTAGGCTTCTCGAACTGAACCAATATAGGAACCAAAAGCCTAGCGCGACTCGGATAATGGCTGCAAACGAAAATACACTTTAAGAACATCTGGAAATTAGATCGAAGCTATAAACGATGCACACCGTCTACTACCTTAATCATTGCAGGACCGAAGAGCATTGAAGATTTAGCAGGTCACCTGGTATCCTATCCAACTATTATGTTGGCAAGAAAGTACTTCGACAAAAACTCGGAGCTTTGAAATTTTTGTATCAGCAATGCAAACACGATGGCGATGGTGAACAATTTCTACGACATTTCTCGGGAAATCAAGATCTGTATAAACAACGGCACGCACGTGGGCTTTCGCAAATTCACCACCAATGATCGGACAACGCCAAAAAAGCACATCATCTTTTACCACTTACGCCGAAGTAGAGCGCGAGTGTAGCGGCTGAAATCATCAACAATCTATTAGTTGAACGCACTGTTCATCTATCAGCTGAACGCACTGTTCTCTACCAACGGTCAACAATTGGTTGAACCGCTCCACCGCATTAGATAGTGGCCGGGCATTAAGCGATCCATGCACTTTGAGTAGTTGAACGCCCTCCACGCAAGACCGTGAGACGATGTTTGCGCTACTTCGAAGGCTAGTATTGAATGCACTGCCAGACAAATACGTACCAACCCTCAAGTACAGAACGATATCGCACGTCGAAAAATCTCTTTCGAGACCAGTCCGGTATTCATGCTTGCCTTCGGGTGGGTTATCAATTGTACACCTGGATCGGTGCCCTTTTCGATCACCATGCGCTCTGCCTTCACAATTATCACCTTGTTGGGCTAAATTGTAATGTATTACGGTCTGAAAATGAAAGTCAAGCTTTATTGTTTTTCTTGTTACTCATATCCTATTATCTCTTGTCTTTGTCTAATTTAATGTTATTGCTTTTTTTTTGTTGGTTCTAAGTCGTGGTCCTTTCGTTCTTTGTTCTTAGTTGAATTGAATGTTTTAACACCTTTTATTGTTTCTTTGCCAACCTTCATCCACTGATGAGCCTCGGGGTTGGCAAAAAACAAAGTGGTTCGTCTGGATGTAAGAGGCGAAACGAACCACCAAGTTAGTTTTCAAACTAATGTGTTTTAATGTTATTAACTTTTTTAAAATTTTCTGAGGACAGTTGCCTAATTCTGANTAGAGGTGAACTTAAAATGACTCCCTTTCTGTCGAAGAACTCTCTTGCTAAGCTGATAGGCTGCTTTCATAGTCCGCCGGCCGGCCGGCGGACTATGAAAGCAGCCACTGTATGCGCTGAATGCCTGTTGGTTTCTCCGTGTGTGTGTGTGTGTGAGTATATCGGTGTGTGTGAACGGAAATTCATAATTCCCGTTGCAAAAACTTTATTGGACGTGGAGCGTTGATAGTGGTGCAGGTGACCGTATGGAATGCTGACGATATGTGGCGCGGCTGGCATGATTATTGCCACCCATACCAAAACTTTGCCAGGAAGTTAAATCATTTACAGCATTCTACATAATGCTGCCCATCACAGCCCAACAACAATACGCGGCATGCAGAATTCGCGCTTATGTCTCTCCCAGTCCTTTAGCAATGTGTGAATACACTAATGATGCTTCGTATCAGTAAAACTGAGATAATGAATGGAGTGTGGAATTTTGCGGTAATTAATGTTAAACCGTATGAAGAGAAATAACGATTGTCTTACGCAAGGCATTCCGATGTCACCACAGAAAGAAAAGTCAGGCGAAGGGGTAAGAGAGAAGGTGGTCATAGTCAACTGTTATTACCTACGTTGTAAGGCAGGCAAGGGAAAACAGAAAGAGGTCCCATCCTTGATGCCTGATCAAAAGTTGGCTTTTGAATAATGAATGATCACATGTGGATCTACGAAAGATCTCAAACGGGGACAATCATAACAATCCTATATCAATGGATGTTCAGCTACATTTTATATTTACGATTAGAATTCCAGCGGGTCGGAAAACAAGCTATTACAATACAGGGCTGAGCTCTTATTTTATCTGAACTTCCTACTCGAATGGAAATTCCTATTGAATTTCATTTTGCTGAAAAGCGAAATGCAAATGATAATATATTAGGTTGTAAGGAAAGTTCTGGCCGTTTCGTCAGCTATTTTTCAAAAAGTTATAACTCATCTCAAAGTGAACATTTTTTTTTCATAGTAAGCCCCATTCGATTCTACACATATTTGCCAACGTGATATGAGTCTGTCTGTTCCATTCTCGTAAAAGTCCGGAGATGGATTCCAAAAACCCGAGAAAGGCAGCTTTCACGTCGCTTTGATTTTTGAATGCTCGTTCCTTTAAAAAGCTGTCCAGTTGCTTGAATAAATGGTAGTCAGCTGGTGACAGGTCTGGTGAGTAGGGTGGATGAGGGCGAGCTTCGATCCGCAGTTCGTTCTACTTCTGGAAGACAATTCGAGGCACATGCGGTTGCGCATTGTCGTGTAAGAGCAGTAGACCGTGGTGGCTGACTAGTACTGGCTGCATTTGCCCCAGTTTTGTGTACTTCTTGTTAATTTGATCACAATATGACTGTGCGGTGATGGTTTGACCTGGAGGGAGGAACATGTAGTGAATTAATCCATGATTGGACCACCAAACTGTGATCATTGTCTTCGTGACGAGTAAACTTGGTTTTGGAAATTTTTTGGAGGCTCATCCACACCCACTCACTGAGCAGAGCGCTCCCTGTTATCATACAGGACCCATTTCTCATCACACGTTACAATACTATGGAGAAAGGGCTCAGCATCATTTCTTATCAACAGCGAACTTTAAACCTCGAAGCGCTTCAGTTGTTGCTGCTCCGTGAAATCGTGTGGCACCCACTTGTCAGGCTTCTTCACTATTCCAAGCAGCTCGAGGTGGGCAGCGACGACTGTGTGGGAGTCACCCATCTTCTTGGCTTCCTTTCTCAAAGAATGACGTCGATCTCCTTCCACTGATCTTAGCACAACATCGTGATCAACTAACGATGGTCGACCAACTCGCTCTTCGTCTTCCATTGACCCGTCTCCACTTCTGAACTTCTGAAACTAGCGACGAACCGTTCGCTCCGATGCAGTGCCTTCTCCCCATACAACGTTAATGTTTGTGGCTGCATTCTTCGTAGTTCGACCAAGTTTGAACTCGTGAAGTAAAACCGTTCAAAAGGCAGTCTTATCCATTCTGCCAAAAAAACCTCCTAAGGATTCCAAAACTTCACAGACTTTGGGGAAAGCGCTATGACAGAAAGAGCAACTAGTGACTTACCTAAGGAACACGATATGTCGATTAATCTGAATGGACAGCCGCCAAAATTTGAATTCATATGGCGCGTGCGTGGGAACGGCCAGAACTTTCCTTACAACCTAATATGAACTTTCTTTACCTCAAAAACTCGTACAAAACCACGCGGAACCGTTCAGCTTTGCATAAATGTACAAGTGATTCCAGCAACCGAACCATTCGGGTTGATGCCGGCCGAGTTTCCTACATCATGCTTTGAACATCTTACCAGCCATGAAGGGTAAACGAAAATAACACCTCATTTTCCACTAACGAATCGCCATTTACAGAGCCGGTAGGCGTCGTCACGGAATTCTCTTTTTTCTTCACAACGGTATGTCTCAGGTTGAAAGATGCAATGATGTAATCCATCAAATTTCTGAAATGAGGAATATTCAGGTAGACAGTTAACAGAAAAAGAACGCAAGTGAGCAGAAATTTTTCAAAAGATAATGATAAGGTAAATACGAGAAGACAACAACGAACTCTGCAAGATCTCGAGCCAGACGCCGATCAAGGCAAGACATTCGATCGACAAACTTCAAAGCCAACTCAGAAATGTATGGAGAGGACGAAAGAAGAACCTTGAAAAAGTAATCATTGTAACTTCTTCTGTTCATACAAAAAAAAAACTGAGTTTATAGGAGGGCTGAATAAGTAAAAGAAGCAATCCTTCACGTAAGTAATCACTGTAACAATCAAAAGTGGTAGAATTGAGTATGCAAACGAAAATGTAGAAAGATGCAAATGTGCTTAACAAACCTCAGCGAAGTCATTTCTGCTCTCACAAGACGAGAAAGCACGAACAAATCTGTTTACACGCTGACGATGTCCAATGACTACATCTTTCCATGATGGCTAGAAATCGTAAATGAGAGAGGATCGTTACGAAATTCTCATCACATACCAATTCGCTCTTTGCAATCACTAATGGAGGAGCCCAAGGAGCTAGACAAATAAGCAAACTGAGGGCTGCGGCGTAAAGATGAGGACGAGAACAACTCCGCAACAGTATGTGACGTATAACTTCCGCCAATGATTTCTGTAGAAAAAATTATAATGATGAAGTAATAATCAACTGAAAAAAGCCACAGACAGATTGCTCTTGACATTACACTCGTTACACTACGGAGAAAAATCTTTACCAGAGAATATAAAATGGTGTAAGTAGAAGGAAAGCAACAGGCCTCATGAAATAGAGCAGGAGCGAGAACATCTAGAACAGCTAGCCGGATTTTGCGGCATTCAGGAGTGAACCTCTGTCCATTCATTCCACCTGCTGAGCTCCACATAAGGAAAAGTGCGTCCATCATCACTTCACTGAGTGTTCGCAACTAGAATTCATAGTTGGCTGAGAACACAGAAGAAAGCTAGCGAACGCTGGGTTGATTCTAAGATGGTAATTCATTCCTTCTTGACAACTCTGCACCCTCTTGCCAGAAAAATTATTGTGCCTAGAGTTCAGAGTCAGAACTATGACAGTATTCATGGTGCAAAATAATCAAATACAGGGTGCAAATAACTTGATATCTTTTCTGGCTGCTTCCAGAGTCCGCCGCGGGCCCCGCCAGCGCGCGCGTGCCAGCCGGCGGACTTTGAAAGTAGCCCCTCAGGTGTGCTCTCCAGAGGCCAAACTGTAATTACACCACTTTCTGTGATGATTCACTTCGAGTATACATGCTATAAATCTATACATTTTATAAAATGATAGTAAACAGTACTATTATATCTGTCTTGACTGGGAGACGGGCAGCAGGAACGGTTTAGTGTAATCGATTCGCCGCACGTGGCTGTCGCAGACCATTACCCTTGTTATAAGAGTTCTAGCATTCTTCATACAGCTCAATCGATATGCAATTATTACTTATGACATGATTCTACTGCTTGTCCTTTTGTTCCTAAATTTCTCACTAGCCGCTAAATTCTGCTACATTCCTTCGCGCGCGGCCTCTCTCTCGCCGCGATGCGACAGTTTCGTTCCTACTGTACAACACCCGTCTAGACTCATTACGCTTTTCCGATGACAAGCTAATAAATAATTTTTAAACTATTATTTCTCCTCTCAAAACTACTGGCTGAGACAGTTGGACTACTGAATTTCTCTAACACACAAATTCTTATGACAGTTAAAATTGAAGTGAACTTCAAGGGCGAAACATATGTATGTACTTCAACAAAAATATTCATAAGGAATGAAAAGGAAATCCAAAGTGAATATGCTTTGATAAAAAAATCCCAGCACACTACGACGTACCTTGACTGAGCTTCCACCAAGGTTATTACAAGTTTTCATATAAGAGGCGAATATGCGCAGCACAGGAAACGCAAATATGTGGAAACTTTTTGAGGCTCCACTCGATGCTGGTTCACCCATCTGCCACATTGCATGACGATTTTGAGCGAGTCCCTAAAACAATAACCATTCAAATAGAGCAATCAAAGAAATAGCACTTGAAACGTACGAAGAGCCACTGAGCCAAAGAATCTAGCGAACCATCTTGTTCCATGGTATGGAATAACTCCAAAAGAGTTGATTTGCTAGCGTTCATCAACTAGAAAAAAGGTTAAAACTACACTATGAACTTCTGCATCAACAAAGAAGCTCGAAATGGAAGAAATACTGGCTTACCACAGCTTCCAATACGCGAACACTTGTACTGAGCACTGGTGTAATCTCATTTCGGCGCTCGAACGCAGTTTTCATCATGAAATTGGAAATCAAACGGAATATCTAGGGATGTAGTTCGGAGTGGGGTTTTTCGAAAGTTAGAGAAAGCACGAAAGATCATTCAAATGCGAAAACTGAGGACATGACAAATTCTGATGTTAAAACTCCTGTGATTATTAGAGCAGAAAAAGTGGAACAAAAGAGCTCACTGTTTAATGAGACAGCTAGTAACGTCTGATCCTGCAGCTCCCAAATTGTGCAGTAATGGCTCTGTGAACGGAGAAAGATAGTCATTCAGCTTCTTGTGCATGCTATAATAGATACAGTTCATAGAAACGAAAACAACTGAGATTGACTATGCATAATTCACAGTGACAACACTTGCCTAGAAGTGATACCTCCTTTTGCTGATACAAGTCGAGAAAATGGCCTAGCGTTTCGAAGCCAAAAGTGTGGGTCGTCAACCTTTGCGACTACAAGCGCCAGAAGATGAAGTGAAAGAATAAAAGATGGCGAAGAACGGAGACTACTATGGGCCTGCAAAACGATTGTTTTTACAATGAACAAACAAAAATTCCAAACAACAACATTAACAACAACAAAGAACAACAGTATTCCGGGAAGTTAAAAAGGTAATGAGAGAAAACTATACAAGAAAACTGTCCAAATTTTAGTTTAGCAACACCACTAGCACCAAATCTGCATTGAATCTCTACTTTGGATAATATTCAACATAGGACGCCTTGGACAGGCATCCTGATCGAAGAGCTTAACGTGATCTAAGTTATTCAAGTGACATATATTTCAAGAAATTTCCTTTGCTGTGGTGCAGTTACAAAGCTTAAACTGAAGGAAGACTCACAGCGGCGTATTCAATGATATCCATTATGTAGTAAATGTATTTTTGAGCTAATGCCCAAAGAATTTCACGTTGTCCTCTTCCGTTGGTATCATTGCAAAGCTCACATAACGACATCAAAGCTGATAATCGGGTTTCGTCATCAATATTGTGACGCAAACTGAAATTATGCCTATATAACATAGGCTGATGGGACCGAAAACACAAAACTCACGTTCCAGCACAGCTGCGAAGCTTGTCAAGCAGATGTAGCACATGGAGGCGATAGACAATCTTCAAACGTATCTCAGTGGCGCTTGGAAATTTCTGGTCCATTTCACAAACACCCTCATCGAAGTTTTCGAACGCGGTGTTTTCACTCTGTAAGAACAAAAGTTCCTGCAAATAAAATTGCAGCGATCAGAAATGATTCAGAAAACTTCTAAGTTCAAAGTGCGAGTGACCAGAAATCTTGAAAACGAAATAGATATCACGAATAGGGAAACTTACTGTGCTTTCAGCTTGCGCAAGTAATTTGAGTTCTGCAAGCAGTGGAACCAGCTCCGCATCATGAACGATAAAGAGCGTTCCGTAATATTTATCATTCAAGAGGAACTCAATAAAATGCAGAGCATTTGGAAATCTGTCAACCACTCTTGACATAGTAAGCAGGCGCGTACAAATTCCGAGAAAACCGCTAAAACACTTTTTTACCGATTGCTGAATCGCAATGATCAAAGAAAACGGTGAAACAACATAGTTATTAACTCGTTCTGGAAACTTCGGAGGTAGCGGCAGCTATGGAAAAATGACCAAACTAAGTATGTTTGAATCGAGTTTACTATTTGACACTCTATCAAAATTCCAACCTTGACTGCAGAAGGCCATAAACATCGAACACAGCGCAGACCTTTTCGTCATCGAATTCAGAGATATATTCTCGAAGAGCATTGAAACTGAAGAAATTAAAACACTTCAGTTATCGACGAAGTTGTTTGAACGTTTGGATGTGCAATCAGCACCTGAGAATGAATTCATCCCAATTCTGCGATAATTGCTGTGCCGGTAAATCTCCGACGCTGGATACAAGGTGCACCGCATCTAGCATATCTGCTGAGCAACTCTCCAGTCTTGAAAGAGCAGAGTCAAAGCGTGACCACGACAACACGAGAGTCAATCGATGCATAAAGCTCTAAACACTCAGGTCAGCTATTTCATATGTTAAAAAGCAAAGAGTGGCGCAGGTTGATTACTTTGCCTATGAAAAAACGATGTCCAAGAGATAAGGCAACGAGTCTTGAATAAAGGGTTCGCTTTTGACTGCCCAGATTTCCACAACGAAAATGATCGTTCGAGATGCGCCAAAGCGCTGGCGATGATATCTGCATATTAACAAAACATTAAAATGAAGCAATCAGAAGGAATACGACCTCTTATACTTAAATCACACCACGTACCAAATGGAAAATAGAGAGCAGAGCTCTCATCCGCAATTCAGAACCCTCAGACTCTTCTATGACATCTAGCAGAAGTTCCATGAGTCCAGACTCCTTGAATCAGATGAACAGCCATTTCAATTTCACGGAAGAAACACAGGAGATGGCCAACTTACAACTACACATTTCCCTATAACACTGCCTTTCGACGAATCGCATACCGCCTTCAAAATTCCGAAAGCAATATCGTGCATCTTTTTAGCCTGTGAACACAAATTTGTAAACAACCATAATTGATCAATATACGACAGTATCATCCAGCACCTCATTCAAAGCTTGCACTTCCTTACTGAGACAAACTTCCAACCACACCATGATCTTTGAAGCTGCTTCTTTTTCAGACAACACATTACCTGTAAAGTCAGAGAATGGCAAAACCTCAAAAAGCAATCACTGCGCAGAGATCGAGACAGAGTCTGCAAGAATTCTTCACGAGATTGGTATATAAGCTTTATTAGGTCGACGTCTCAGCAAGACTGCCTACTTCACAGCATAAAGGGATCAAGAACACTTAGTAACTACCGCTCTCTTACGCAGTCCTACTGTGCTCCAGTTCGAAACTCTACAGGGGAAACATGAAATTTGAGAAAGGCCACTAACCGCAGTTTCGTGAAATCTGTTGAATCAGCGCCGCCTCGGATACCCCCTCATTGGGAAACACCCTTCTTTAATTGAACGGTATGGGGGACGCGAAATCCAGCAGGGTTCCAAAGATGTTCGATCGAGCAGCCACAAGTTGTCTTCGATAAGTTCAACTCTGAATAAGACGGTCCTGCCGAAACGCTGACAAATAAAGCTTGTGCACCCGCCTGGACAATTGCAGAAAACTTCACGCCTAGCATGAAGTTTCATGCTGGGGTTCTCAGAAAGCGCAACGTGGGAAACCACCTACTTTTCAGAACTACTTTACTTTTTCCAGCATCAGCTTTTTTCCTACCACTTTCTCGAAGAAAATGGAAGATTAGGATAAATTCGTTGCTCATTATAGCAAAGCCTATCAATCTTACACAAAACAAAGAGCACCCGATGCAATCAAATAAGGAGGGGAATTTTCTCTTACTCCTTTCCAATTCCCCCTCTATTCTCTATGGTAGGCAGAAAACAGGCTAAATCACGCAATAGCAGTTGAACCGTCATTAGCATAATTGAAAGCAAGTTTAAAAAAAGAGAATTCTCATTTATGGTTATGAATACCGAACCAAACTGATCAAAATGCCAAGTTCCCCTAGTTGGCAAGGCTTCAATTTCTAGTCCCATCTAGCCTTTCTAGTATGCCCACTTCTCACCTTCAAAATTCAGAAAAAATAGTAAGATAGTATTGAGTGAAATTTTACTTCTTTCTATGAGAAAATATCTTTCGAGCATCAGTGACAGTATCGTTCAAACCCACCTTTAACAAGAGTAACAAAACATGATGGCAGATGTGGAAGTAACGTCTCTACCGTTACGATGAAATCATCTCTGAAAGTGAAAATTTCACAGCTTCAATCAAGCTCCTCAAGCACTTTCGCGACTGAGACTAACATTCCCTCAAATATGGATTCGTGATCGAAGGCTTCAATGGCCTCTACGAAAATTTCCCAATTCTTCGCATCGCACTCAGCCACTGCATGTTTGAACCAAGGCGCACGTATGTGCTGCAATGAAATCAGAAATTATGTCAATAAATAATCTAGAGTTACCACTAACTCACAACTACCTGTGGAGGTATAAGTTGCAACGAATCAGGATCAAAATCTTGGACAGCAACGTCTTCAACTATATCATCCTGGAATGCCTTCGTCACGGACTTTAAACAAATGGATAACAAGTCGTGGCAGTTGTAATGATTGTGGTGTCACAGAGCTTGCAAAAAATGTTGGAAGCTCATCTAATCGAAAAACAACGAGCGAAACCTCTGCTCTCTTCGGCCGAAGACCCAAACGTCATCATTTTCACGTGTGGCAAATGGGAGAACTCACACTTTGCTCCATCTCCTCCTCGTCAGAGTTCTCACACGCCTCATCAGCCATTGACAAATCACTGGATGCGATACTGATGATATCATCATCACCGTTGTTCTCTTTCTGTTGCCCTTCTTCCACGTCTTCAGTCTTTTCATCAACCTCGACCTCAGCCAGCGCATCTTCACCTTCCATCTCATCTTAAGTTCGAAACAAAACAACAATATCGTTGGCACAATGATGATAAAATATAGACGGATGTTGCGAAAACCTACCAGCTAATTCTTCTGTTTCATGTTGCTCTTCTTCTTTATCTTCACTGCCCGCCGCAACATCTTTCTCAGCATCCATTCGACCCCTCGAAGGAAGGTTAATCGCTTTGGTCAAAGAAAACGATCACTCAACGTACATGTATATTTAATGATAGCAATAAACTATTCAGCAGTAAAAACTCGCATAATAAAACAGATTTATTGACTTCGAATTCGAATGTACAAAAATACAACTTCGGCAAACTTGAGAGTACCGAAATAACTACCGAATCAATGCTAGTGTAGTTGCCAACGTTGCATTGGAAAGGCATACGTACGAAGCGGAATTAATGACTTGCGACATGGAAAATATCACAGCAGGTACCTACTCCACTTTTTCCGAGAAAAAGTGACATCACAAAAAAGCAGCCAGATGACTATTAAAAAATAACGGTCAATCATAATTGGAGGAATAACGTCTTAATCTGTAGACTACGCCAAGAAGTAGAACACTTCCAAAAATCGCATGACTCCTTACATTCTGTCATCATAAATGAGATGAGTGCAAAGAATTGAGTGCACACATTGTCAGAGTTCAGTTTTGTTTTATAACGCTTAACATATACATATATGTATATATATAAGTATATATATTATAGAGAGAGAGGAAAGGGTGAGTGCGGAATCGAATGCCCTTTAAGCTGGAACCTATCAAAGGCTAAATTTTACACAGAATTACTTTTCACACCATATGTTGTCTCACTGTTGGATATCAAATGAGCGGTTGAAACNAACGAGTTTACCGGCAAAGGATGGAAAAACATCTTTAGCGTAAAAAAAAAACGTATAGGAAAAGCATAGGTGGTCTAATTTTCGGAGATTCAGAATCAAGTAGACGTACAGTTACCGGAAGGAACGCAGCACACCTGCTGCGTCGTAGTAAGGGAAACCTGCTCGCGGTGGTTGAAGTATACAAGTGAGACTACAATGTGAAACTGCATATTGACGTATAGAGAAGTAAGTCGTGAAAATGATGCTTGACAGTACTGCCTAAAAGAGGTATAATCACTGAGCCTCGAAAACTTTACTTTGTTTGAGTAACCGATGTGCTAAGGACCTTGGAGTGGCGCTGAACACCAACAACACTTTCGTATGAACAGGCAAAAACCGTATCCCAGGATAAACTTTTCGAGAAAAAACATCCAACTATATATGTAACATCAAACTATATGTGTAACAAAAAGGCACTGATTGGGACTTCAAGGTAAAGAAATTCTAAAAGTGAAGGGAATTTGCTTAAATTAACGTAAAAAACTTTAACGTAATAACATATAAGAAAAGCTCATGTGTTCTAATACTTAATAAACACTCCAGATCTTTTACACTTACGCTACGACGTCGGTTAGAGTAACTGAGTTGTTGAACATTAACACGTTGTTACGGCTACTAAGCGGGGCGATGGCCACCGTTGTTGAATTCAGTCCGGAGCCAATCACGTCGCTTGACCATGGTTGAAATTTGGAGACGACCTAAACTCAAAAAAAATAAATAAATAAAACGCTGATTACTGCCTACGCGAAAATTTTACCGTAGCTGATGTGTTGACAACTTGCACAACGTAATAATTCGCATTCGATATATTCACGTAATTCTGTAAACAAAATATAGAATCAATATCTGTCGTAAAGCAATTTGCTGAGCGAACAAAAATAAAACATTACCATGAAATGGAAACGTATTTCAGGTGGATCAGGCGGAACTCGTTTGTCCGTTACATGAATGATATTTATGGCGGGACTGTTGCTGTATAACTCGACAGATCTTGGTACCAGCATGAAAATTGCCCCAGAAGCAAGTACAGCACAGACCTAAAGCGGACGACAGGAACTTTCTCATTAAAAAGACAGTACCGTATGTTTGAAGATTACCAGTGAAGAAATGAAAAATTCTGAAGCAATACAGAGGAAAGCACAAACCGCGATTCCTATTAGCACCCAGAACCAAGTTCGCTTCGGCTTCAACCGATCATCATTCAGTGGAATCAATGCAACTAGTGTTTCCTCCATTTCTGAAACTTTCAACCATATGGATTAGGTCGGCAAACCACCAAAACCACCAAAAATTGAGCAAATGATGACCACATTCACAATGAGCAAGGGAAAGGGATGGCTAGAAATTTCCATGTATCACGTAGACATTCACTTCAGTGGATAGCATTTGTTAACCGCACGACGGAGGAAGAAGTCTTGTGTGAAAAATCGAAGGAATAATTTTGCTTTTCCACAGACGGAAGATCAAGTAAGGGAAGCGCTTTGACACTTGGGATACGTACCAGCAAAATTTTGCAGTGTGGAAACTTCTGTACGATTGAGGCCACTTACGCACTCGCAGCGAAGCGTTGTTAGTTGGGTACGAAAACTCTATTATCCCTTTGCTTCATGCATATTGTTATGCAGCAAGTCGAAGGCACGAAAAGAATAAGAGCGGGAAGAAAGTAATGTTTCTATAATTCTCAGCAGAGAAAGTTCACTATCATTGTCCAAGAGTTTCAATTTCACGCAAAGTTACGCAAAGTTAAAAAAGGTTGAAAATGGGTTGATGGCTCTGTAGAAAACGAATCAGTACCCCGCTTTGCTGCACACTACACATATTACTGGGTACAAAAGAAATCCTAACTGGAAGTATCGAAACAATTTCCGGTTCGAATCATAATTTTTCTCAAGACGCTACACTTCCGTACTGTTGTTGTTCTCTATAGTTATATATGTTTTATCTGACTTTATCTGATTTCTTTTATGGCAGTTTGGTTGTTTTTGCAAGAGTTCGTCTTTTTGGGTTTTGTTCGATTTCTTTTTTACGTGTTGAGACTTCAACATGTCCAAATAAACAAATAATAAATAAATGTTTTACTGGCTCGACAGTGGAATGATACCGTCATCCCTTATAAGGATCACCCCGCACCGAGGTGCGCAGTAACCTCAATCCACAAAATGACACTGCAGTTATTTCTTCTCAAGGCTTGTATTTGACAGCCCTATTTAATTCTCAGCAGTTCCTTAATGGTTAAATGTGAGTCTTCAGAGAACAGCCCAACAAAAGGAATCCTGGTGGAGGGGGACCAGAATAGAACTTTTTGAAAAAATTCTGTTGACACTAAAGCTCTTAGACAAACATAAGAAACCAAACCTTTTGGGATTCGGCCAGTTCCTTTGCAAGATGGACATGGCACACTACCACCCATCAGCTCAGTGTAATCGGAATGTAGTGATCTGAAAAGAGAAAGTGTACATATAAAGAAAACCGCTTTGAACCCACAAGACAATTACGTTATCGCCAATTCAAACTGTTGCAGAGACTGCGTGCAAGCTGTTGCTGCCATTCTGGTCCAGTACAAGCCCCTACCCTGATGTTCAACACTTCGTCAAACTAACGTGAGCCAAGTAGGGAAGAGGGATGAACCTCTCACAAGCACGAGTTCTAGGGTTGTCCTAGAGATCTCACTTACTCCAACTAGATGTATGAAGGAATTGGTACCAGAGAGTTACGTCACATCATAACGACACGACAAAATTTATGGTAGAGCGGTTTCACTGGAGCAAGAAGCCCGAATCGCAATAACGAAAAAGTGATCGGAGGACTGGTAATTTTTCTGTGCTCAGAAGTTCGATGAATTATGGGGTCAGAAGTTCGATGTATTATGGGCAAAGAGCTTAGCCTCCGTCTGTCTACATCCCAGCTATCGAATAACAACATCCACTCAGAGAACAATTTCAACTGCACCACTCGTTCTTAATTCACCGTTTTTAGACCTCATAAAAAATTAAAGGCAATCAAAAAAGTCTGAGATCACCACCTGAAGCCATCACTCATAATGTGATCAGAATCATCTAGGACAACGACTTCTGATAATGACTACATTAGTAGATAGTTTCAAAGGTTCGACTGACAAATCAAGTTGTAGAAAAGTACCTTCGCCAATGGGCTTGATAAATGGAAGAATCAAATATTTAATGAATTTTAATGTTAAGCAGGAACAGTGGAGGGAGACTTTCAATCATCAGCGTAATGATCATCACACATTGATCGCCAGTTGCACTTCCCTATTTAAGTCATACAACCCTCCTCAGAGGCACTCCTCAAATTCGTAGGGCTCGCAATTCCCCGATATACAGTTTGATCGACTAAGTGATCACATTATAATTTAGCTCTCTTGCGAAATCAACTGAACTGATAATGAATACAGTTGGTAACGTAAGAACTTCAGCAATGGAATAAGCGATGTTGCACATAACTGACAGAATTCCGCTGTTCATAGCACGGGGAGCTGTGAATAAGTAGCGTTGTTACGCAAACTTCATGATCATTAGCGTAAAAAGACGTTAGAGGCCCTTTTGCTGCTAATCTTGTCCGTATTTGACATCACATTTTCCCTATGTAGTGGAATTTGTTTACTTATACAATTCGAATAAGCAACTGTAACCAGTTAATTGGAGCAGCATTTATTGATACCTATACTGACTGATATAAATACCACGCCAAGGCGTACGCGAGAGCAAAACTTGTTTAGACCATGGCCAAGAATTTTTATCTCTGCCCTGCCCATCCCAGCGCAACCTCGTCCCCATGAAGCCTTGACCAATAATTCTAATGTAGAAGCTAACCTTTTTCCCAAATTCTACAACGATTCCCGACAGTTAGGAATTTCCAACTATAGCTACGCCCACCTGAATGACCTATGTTCCTTTGATAGGTTCAATAATATTTTCTGACCCTGGGAAATTTATGGATTTCTGTATGGCATTTTCCATCTGAGACCATTCCTCTACCATTATATTCGAGGCTTCGCTCGGTTCAGGCACGTCTGACATACTTGACCCTCACTCATTTCAACAAAATCTTTTTCTGGCCTGCAGGTTGTGGCGAAATCGAGTTATGTATCTGCGAGGGGGAGTCAGGCTCTCCTCCTTTTCGTATAAATTTGACTTATCACCTACTTCCCTGCCAAATTTGGAGGTTAACGCGCTGCTACAGGAAAACAGGAGTTATGAATTTCCAACACACTTCGTAAGCGCTTCGACCGTCATGAACGTGGTCCTGCTCAACTCATGCGTGTTCATGTAACCTGGTTCATTTCCATTTTCCTTAAATTTGACAGCGCAAATTTAATCAGATTACGTTCACCCCACACGCTTTCCACCCCTACATTCTCACTGCGGAGGAGGAATCCAGTTAAGCCATTTTCTACCACTTACCCTCACTGTCTTGATCCCGCCGTCTGTGTCCGATTTTGAACGCCCCAGGTGTAAATTAAGGATTTTCCGCATGCGCAGCCCTCTGTGGGCAGAGTCCAGTCCTGTCACATCTCAATAGCATTCCCATGCCGCCGCCTTTGCCCCCATAAAATTTGAACGCTCCAAGTCCAAATTAGCAAATTTCGCGCATGCACAGTCATCTATACGCGGAGTACAGCCGTGCCACATATCTACAGCCTTCTCATCTTGTCGCATGTACTCATAGAAAAATTTGGTTCCACGGGAACAAGCTATTTCGACCACGCACACCGACACACACAAACACACCCTAGGACAAGCCAACTGGTGTGTGCCTACAAGCACACTCAGCGCTCTAGTAGGAATCAAGAAGCGCCCGCAAAACCTTCCGAAGGGACTCTGGAAATCAATTTCGGTACATGACATGCAGAATTAATGAAAGAGAAGCCGAAGCACCATTAATAGGAGAACTTGCCGCGAATTGGAGGTCATATCGTTTGTGTGGTTCCTGTCGTTTTCAGGAGTACTTTGCTCTTCTCGAAGAGTTTCGTGGTCACCGAATATCTGCTTTACCTTCACGCGAATCTTTTCCCAAGCATTGGCCCACATCGTCATCCCATCAGTCTAAATATTTACTTTATCAACCATCAAAAAAATATGTCGTAAAAGAAAAAAATCGATGAGAACGTCGCAAAAGCACCAGCACCGATCTTATTTCGCACTATTAATAGGAAATCTTGCCGTATTTACTACTTTACTTTATTACATCTACAGAGGCGACTGCAAAATAGAGGTCAGACATGAGAAACAGAAACGCACCAATAATTCTCTCGACGTTAGTCGACGAAACGCCTCCTCCAAATAAATCTGAAATCACTTATTATTTATCGATCTAAAAATGCATATGTTAAAACGCGGAGCGAAAAGTGGCATATGATCACAGAAAAACTCTAAACCACGCCATCAAAACGTATTAAAGTGACCAATTCCATCACGTACCGAACAGAAAAGAACATGGTCGCATGATAATATTGTGAATGAACATGAAAATCTGAGACAGAGCTCCAAAAAATGAATGCATTTTGCGACAACATCATGAGCTTCTAAATTTTGAGAAGCTACTACTAACATTTGAGCGCAGAAAAATAGCAAAGTAAAAATGAAAACAGCAACGAACAAATGATGAAATAAAAAAAAGAGATGTTTTGTCATCACTGAAGTGAGATTCTGAGACGTTCTGTTAGATTAGCGCAAGATTCAAAAAATCGGACAACACACCGGTCAGCAAGGATAGAGGTCTTTTAAAAAATTCAAACAAAGCAAGGCACAATTGTTTAGATGATCCGGCTTATGAGCGGATAATAAAAAGATAAGGGTTTAAGAACATTTGACACAGATTGCTAGTCTCTTTGAGCTGAAATAGCGCCTCCCATTACAAAAATATCTGTACATTAATTCAAAGCAACATAGAATAAGATCTGGAGGCAGGAGGGTGAGAGAACACTCATGAGTACAACAAGCATTAAGTTGTGCGACCGATATAAGACGAATATCTCGCAAGTCCAGATTTCTCCCGTGATTTCCAAGAAGCTTCCGTGAGGGTTTCTATTGCAAAGGCAGCACCCATGTGACACGCATAACATACCCAGCCATGTATTCCTTGTCTATTTATCTATACATATATCGACCGACCTGTCGTCTCATATTCAACAAGCACTCCTTGACGGTTACAAACCCAGTCCAATTCTATGCACAATTAATTACAACGGTTCACAGCTTGAAACAAAATCCGTTGATGAACCTCGATCGATCTGACTAACCGAACGCGAAATCATGAAAATGTCAAATATGCTCTGTGCCTACAAGTACGCAGTGCCCTCTCATAGTATTTTTACGGAAGCTTCCACAGCCTACCGCGATGAACCTGGAATACGTGCGATTTTCGGTTCTTCCCACACAACCCAATATTTAGCAGTCTGAAAATCTCACACCTCCTCCCTCTTTAATTTGAAAGTGCGTCATAAAACAGTTTTCCAGTATTCAAAAAGAAACGTGACAAATGTCAGAACGTAGAACCTTGCTGAAAAAAGGACATCATAAGGCTGGCATAGTTAGCGTTGTTTTGATTTCAGAATTATGCTCCTCCAGCGAAGTATGAGCATAATAACGAACAAAGTCGCCAATAGTAACGAAATAAACTCCACCATTATCAAAACCCCATCCCTGAAACATATTCTTTCATTAATTTCCTCACGAAAAAAAAAAACTCGCATCTTGAAAGCTTACAGCCAACACACCTGTGAGGTCTGTCCGATGAGGCAGTGAGACAATCGTTCTCCATGGAGCACACTGAGCACAAGCTTGTTGGCCTTCAAGCAAGCAATGAAATGATACTTCGACATGCTGAACGATTTACGAAAGGCTACCTGTGAAGCAGAAGGACGAATCAAAAAAATGCCATCTGTTGTTTGGTTCGGACCCATCTTCTCCAAGCGACGAGCACGAGCGCGTGAAATAAGTGCTGCTGCTGCTTCCTTTGAGGGATCATTCACAAGGTAGCTGAAATTGAAGTCACCGCATTTGACCGTGGTAAAGTTATAGACACCTTATGAAAATAACTTGAAATATTCACTTTGCCGGTTCCCATGTCAGTGAAATATCGGCGAGCAGTTCACTGGCTTGCAGGGACTCCTTTTCTAGCATGCTTGTTGCATGTTCTATCGTTTCTCCCAACTTTTGCTTCGGTACTCCTTTTTTATAGAGATCTGCGTAAGATTGATTGCGTGTATTATGACAGGAGACAAGACGCTCCTAGAATTGAGAAAAGTTGCGAAAGACGTCCGTCAAATAAGAATTTGATCGCAAAATGAATAACCTTCGCATGAGCTGAAGCTTGCTCCAAATCTTCTATGATTTTCGCCACCTTAGCACGACGGTCTACCACGAATTCACGCTCTTCCTTCAACTTCTTTATTCCCATTTCCACAAGCTAGAGTAAATAAATTATAAAGGGAAGGAAGAGCAATAGCAGTAAAGAAGAATGAAATGCTAGGTAGAAGCTAAACCTCAGAGTTAGCCTTAAACGTGTGGACACGTTTAGGATCAGTTTCATCATTAGACTCTCTGCAGCTTTGAAGAGTGCTTAAGACATCTTCGAGTTGTTTAACTTTCCGCTCCAAATCTACAATCTGAAAATCAATAGTCCAAATATACATATAGCCTTAAGCGCAATGCAAATACGAATTCATGAGTAAATGAATGAACAAATGAATAAAAAATAGTATCAAACATTAATGTAATAATCAATAATAAGTAATATTTTATAATAAATGAAGAAGAGTGTTTAAAAAATTAGAAAATGAATAATAAGAATAAATGAAAAGTATCTGAACTACACATATATGCGTGTTTGTCTATCTGCCTATCACGAAGATCGGACTCATCTTGAAAAGCACCTCAAAAAACAAATTTCAAATCGGTTTCAGAAGAGTCTAGACATGAAGGAAAGATATGTTAAGGTGGAGAACGAGTTATTAAGTGACACGAATAGACCCACGCGTGTTAGGCATAGCGTTCTCAAAGTTGGTCGCAGTTACTCAATTCATAAATCGATGCCACTAGAACCTGCAGGCCAGAGATTATTGTAGCGTTAAGCAAGGTCTGAAGGTGTGCTAGGTAAGCCTGCCGGTACTTGCACCTACTATGAATGCGCTCTATGGCTGCTTTGACACTTCGACTACTCTACCTGCGTGCAGGCACGTCTGAAAGCAGCACTTGACCCACCCGTCGCTTACACGATGCATCGAAAAAGAGCCTCGAGCAAAGGCGGATGAATAGTGAGTCAATACTGGTGTTGGCACGTGTATGCGAAATGATACCGTTGGTAGATATAAGTGACACAGCCAAGCATGCATTTGTGTGCTTTAGGCAAAATGGTGTAGAATACGAAAGTACTTTGCTTGAATGAATACCATTCGCGCACCGCGTCGTTAGTTCCAAAAACACGCCAACGGTTCTATTTGATCTCCTTTTCATCCCAGAAATGATAAAAGTAGTTTTTGGACTTGTAATTTGTATCCTTACTCTGTTCATGTGTTGTTGGTTTGCATCATGTCCAAATAAACAAATAAAAATAAAGTAAAGCGCTAATATGTCACATAGATTCTGCCCTTGTCCCAATAAAAATACCACTTATGAACACTATAACCGCCGTCAATGTCTTAGCCAAATATATGACTACATGCGTTGGGGTAACGATAGGAAGTTCGTTGTGGAAGGAATGAGAATGGATGAGGAAGTATGACAAATAAATCGAATTTTTTTCCTACAAATGCTGATTTAGCAGGGGAAATAGACTGAAGATGAGATTACAGGGACATGATGCGAGGTGATACCGTCATTCAGCCCTATTCCTCAACATGTAAAACTAAATTTGCGAAACGCATTGCTCAAGAGTAGAATCGTTTAAGCATATGGCTCGGCTACGATTGATTTCGACCCGAATTGTGATTTTGTTGCGTGCGCACTAGCGTGTGGAACGTAACGGTTAATATGTAGGGAGATTTCATGATGTCGCCATCGATTGGAAGATCGAGTTCCTCCTCGACTTTTTCGTTCCAGTAATGAAGACAAAGATGTACGCCGTACCGCATAAAGGAGCTTCAAAGAGAAATGCTTGACACAAGCTGCAATGGATTCTGGATTCGAATTCGTGAATGTGCCAAATACGGGTAGACAGTTCGGACATTATACAATGAAGTGAGCAAGGAGGAAGTAGCCGGACAAGTTAAGCGTTTACGCAGCATGTGCTGTGCCTGAGTAGTGTGCTTACATAAAGACCCCGTTGAAGCCCCCAGAAAAGCCTTGCCGCACAGCCCAACGAAAAAGAAATAAGCAGCAGTTGGCTATCATTGGTTGGGTAAATCTTGCTTTGATGGGAATGAGCCGATTCTTACCAATGAGCACAAACTTCAGTTCTTATGTGATGGACACGATTGCGGATCGTCCAAAAGCTACCATGACTTACAGCTTGAGTGTACTCATAGTGAAGATCATCAGCCATTTTCTTTTCCTCATGGACAGCATCAAACAGACGAGCAGCACGATCAACTGATGTTTGACATATTCTAAGGCGTTCCAAACCCAGTCGAAGTTCCCAATCTGAAGACAGATAGGTAAGTGAGCTTAGATATTTTTAGATACTGTAGTCAAAATTTTGCATTGCTTGTTTATTGAGCAGCTTACAGGAAATATGAGTAACTCTATAACATGTCCGTAGTTCACGAATCGCATGTGTTTTCGGATTGGTCATGAAAATTACAAAACGAGCGAGGACCCCTTACAGTTTCCGTTTCAGGGCAACGTCAGTTGAATGTAAAATCTATCCAGCAAGGCGAGGAACCCTGCATTACCATTCTTATACCCCCCTAGACTCAGTGGATCGCAGTTTCTAATTATGGAATCACTAAAAAACTTGGCCTCTTCGATGTTCACAATTACAGCTTGGGAAGAAGAAATAAAAAATTTAGAGAAAAGAAGATCAAAAAATATTTCTAAAAGAATCGAAGAGTCATAAGGGACAAAGTTAAATATGAAAGCACAGCAAATCTTAATAATTCAATCAGATCAGAAAGATAAAGCCTTTCAGCGTTAATAAATTCCTTCTTGCGGTACTCTACCGTTTACGCTCTACACAGTTTATAAAATGTGAAGTTTTAATTCAATTAAGTACCACGGTTTTTATTTATTTTCAAGCCTACTTCTCACTATTATTCACAGTTAAATTGTCACATGCCTCTTGAGCACGGTTCTCATTTCGAAGAAAATATTAGGTAGGTTAAGCAACTAAAACAAACCGCGGCACCATAGGCACAAACAGAGACTATGAATGCGAACACAAATAAATCAATTAAGAGATTCCTAAATATGACAGTTGACAAAGAACAAAGATAATTAGCTGAGAACGATAGGTAGGATCACATTCATGAAGAACCTATCCAAAATCAGAACGTGTGAAATCCAAACCTTCAATAGTGAAACCTGTTCTTTTAAAAACTTTGCATGAGCAACACTTTTTTTGCTCCCGCTTATCAAGTGATATTCTCTTATGTAAATTAAACGCACCGGGATTGAAAGCCGGCACCGGAGGCGAAACCGACGACGAAACAGAGGGCGCATCAGTTCCCCACACAGAGTTTTTACGACGTGGTAATGGATATTTGAGACACACGTCCAGCTGAGCGTTGTAACACTGTAAATGTACCTATTACCGGAACACACGAAGGAAAAACAGTGGGAGCATGACATCAAGAACTGAAGATATTCCAACGTTCAACCACACGATACTGACCTTGAGCGATCTTGTTCTGTAGAACTCAATAAGGCTTACAACTGAGTCATGAGTGAGAGATTCTAGAGCGAAACCACATCTTCCTTTGTACACATGTATTCTGACCAGTTTTGTACAGCCACCAAATCTGCAAAGCGCAAGGTTGAATGTACAACCGAACATAACTTTCAACAGCTGCAAAAAATGGTTGATTGATGAGAGAACGAATCATATGGAATTTTTGTGTAAGCTCGAAGTTCTAGTGTCATCGAAGCGAATATGTAGTTGAAGGAAGTTGGTCGCTGTAGCGGTACTGCCAGCCAAAGAGCTCTGCAGCTTGGCATTAAGCACTAAACTCATGCTTCGAAGCAAACCGTGCCCTTTGAGCGCTTTGAAACTGCGGTTTGCAAAAACATTTTTTGAAAGCGTGGAAAGGATATGCAGCTATTTCTGTTTTCTCAAAGCAGTCAAACTAAAGATATTCATAGTTCTTAATATTGATCAAATGGTAAATATTGATCAAATTGTAAATAGTACGAGACGATCATCATACACTAGTAACGTGGGAAGACACCCAAGCCGAACTGCAAAGAAAAAGGAAAATACTAGCTAAGAGGAAGTCGTAGAAGACACAACATTGAACGGTCCAGTTCCATGGACTATCCGCAAAAAAAAACTACGAGTAGTGATGATAGAACAAGTTCTCACTTCACTCCACAATGGTCGATGGCTGGTAGATGCAAAGAGCGACGGAAACGGAGGAGCAGCAGCATCGTTTAATACACTTGTACATGATGGTCATCCCATGAGAATCACGCCGTCATTTTGCGCCTTCAGGGTGGTCGAGTCAAGTTCAGGGTGGGTAGGACATGATCAACAGAGTACATGTAAACTCGGTGGAACCCTATCCACAGGTTGGTGGGGCATACACTGGAATGGGCGGTGGGCAGAACATCCTTCTTTTGTCTATTTTTTAGCCCAGACGTCGAGACAAACGAGTAAAGGTGAGAAATGGAGAACAAATGAAATGAACTAGTGGTAAGAGCGTACTTGCAGTGGGCGATACTCTCAATATAAGGATGCTTTGTGTGCTTTACGACAAGTTCAAGACCAGGATTTCACCATTCTAGAAGAAAGTCCATGTCAACGTGAAAAGAGGATTCTGTAGGAGTATACCAACTTGTCAAAATCCGATGCTCCTACTACATTGAATAGAACGAATATCGCTGGATAGTCCAGCTACGTGGATCTAATGAAGAAGATGAAGATGAACGAAGATTAAAAAGGAACATTCGACTCCGCGCTCAACTTTTCGACAGCGCGGTCCTTCCCATTTAAACGAACACCTCGAGGGCTAGCACTTTGCGAAAGCAGTAGGAACATGCATCCAGCGCCAATAAACTATAGAATGGATGATGGTCGGAATTTCCCTGTACATCCAAGTGCAGAAGGGAATCGGGAGTTCGAGAAACGTCAACGAAAAAATATCAGAAACGCCAAAGAATCGAAGATCAGCTGTGCAGGACATGCTACGCGATATCGTGATGGCCGCTGGATCAGGGGATTTGGGTGACTGGATCGCTCAGGACGTCAAACGAACACGAAGCCGGCTGCCAGCTCGATGGTCAGATTCTTCACAAAGCAGTTTTTGTCTCTCGGGTGAGTACGCCACAGCACTAATCTCCTTCGCGACAGAGTTGAATAAAGACGTTTCTGGCACCCGTTCGAGGGAAACGGCGAAACAAGGCAAGGGCACTATAGATAAATGATTATAGCCTTTTATTAATCTCGCTATAGAATGCGCCCCGCACTCGATTACCATTCAAAATCGCACGGACGTTTCGATATGTACATGGCCTGCTCAATGAGTTGCGATTGTCAGCCGATGTACAAGTAGGTGCTCTTAGAAAAGATCGATGCCAGTTCACAGGCAACAAAGGAGGACGGAAGGCTCGGTAGGATAGGCCTCGGTATCAGCCCCTCCATTTTTTATAGTGTGTTAATGTACATGCATTCATATGCACATTTTATTTAATTTTTCATTTCACCGCCACTCAAGCGTTATTCACTTTTGGTGAAAATGATTCATCGCACATTAGCCGTATTTCTATTCTGTGTTTTTCAATTGCCGATGGACAGTTGACCAAGCAGAATACGAATACAGCTAATGAGCGATGAATCATTTTACCAAAAACCATGAACATATTATCGAGTACTATGAAAACCTAGCGTGGAGGAACGTCCCTTGAACCTCCTGAACTCTTTCCATAGTCGCACGAAGGAACAAAGTTTTCATTCGATGCATAAGCGTACAAACCTGACAGTTAACGTATAATCTCCTGGAGAGGACGCATCTCGCACCATGAACGTCCCTTCTGGTTGATCTTGCATGATCTGAAATAAAAAGTTGAGGCACGTTAGTAACGATCTTATCGTGAAAAAGAGAGAACTGCAACCAGTGGCCAAATTCACCTCAGTAACTGTAGATTTGTCAACATTACCCCAGTACCAGATTTGGTCGGAGAGCTGCCCGACAGCCATGTCTATAAAATATCTATAGAACAACAGAACAGAAACAAGAAAAGGAGCTTTTATTGTAAAACTTCTGCGTTTAGATATTAAAATATCCTCGAAGAAACACAGGCGTCATTCTAGGAATAAGGACAGAAAGCTCTACCGAGCGCTCCGAAAAGTTTAGAATTGAAGACTTCGAGCCATAAAGGATTGCTAAAGGCGGGGTTACTCGATCCAGTCACAGTAACAAGCGACACTAGCAGCACCAGAACTTCTACCGCTTTCGTAGAAGATCGGTCGAATTTTGGGTGGTAGTATTTACCACTGCATGGCGCGATTTCCGATTTTCGGGTCTCCGCCCCTAAGAAACATTGCCGGCTCGCCCTTTCCACAGCACTGAAATGGTGAAATCTATCCCTTCCCATGGTTAAGTACGGTCCTGCATCCGCGATTAGGAGGTTTTTGAAGTAAGGTACGACCCCAACTAATTGACGGTTTCAGGAATCCCCTTCTTCTATTCCCTGATTGTGGCAACTATGTATCGCAAATTCGAGGTGTGAAGAAGAATAGTCAACCGCTAAAAGTGAAGAATTGAGAGTTTTGAAAAGAACACGGAAGACGGAGATAACAGAAAGTAACTTCAACTCGTCCAAGGTTGCAGGTGGCAATTCGCTGCATTGGTAATTCCGTGCGATGCGGACCTGTAATAGAGCAGGTTAACTTCATTAGCTAATATTATAATAACCATGTGCTGTCCTTCCTTTAATGAACTTCACTCTTTTGTATTTTCTAGCTTGTCTTGTCCTAAATTTCTGAATGTCGATGTAATACCTATTTCCAATTTTCCACTACTATTACCTCTTTGAGGGTGGAGGTGATGTAGTGGCAAGTAGCGCGCTATATCACACACACGATCAGGGGTTCGAATCCCGGATCGATGCTCGCCTAGCCCAACCAAGCCTTCCATCCCTCCCGGGTCAGTGAATTGGTACCAGACTCGTCTGGGAGGATAAAAGCACTGACTTGTACATCGGCTGGCCACCGCAAGTCACTGTATAGGCCACATACGCACTCATTACGCCACTACGGTTCTGAATGGCAGTTGAATGCGCAGGCGCATCCCTCTGGAGGGATTGATTAACGCCAAAAACTTTATCCTTTATCCTTTATTATTACCTCTTTGAACGGGCGTACAAAACTACAATTACGTGTACGGCTGTGGATAATTTGATTTCTACTGCTTCGCTGTTCCCTACACAGAAAGTAGTACTTGAAGTAGATGTTGTACATCTTTGGTTCGCGCTTGATAATCTGTCATCTACTGTATTAAGTTGGAACATCGTATTCGGTGGTTTTTGATTTCGTCTTTTTTCCAGATATCATTTGATTTCGTTGTGTGCGTTACACCCCTTAATATTCGGTGAAAATCGTATTTACTTTGTTATTATTGCTTCTTGTCATATTGCTATTGTAGATTTTTCCGGCATTTGGATGCGTTTGGAAGAAATGTAAATGGGCTATATTCGCCAGAATATGCTGGTGCACTTACTTCCCATTCGAATTTCATTCTGTTCCGCGGATTTTTTGAGCTCATTCGAACTAACGTAGAATTGTTTTGTTGAAGTTTCATGTTGTTTCCTTTTGCATTTTGTCACGAGGTTGTTGATGTGGTTTTTTTTCATTTACTTGTTGGTGTGTTCGATTTTTCTGTGTGAAGCCTCTTCATTTTAGAACCTTTTCGCAAGGTTGAGGAACATTTTTCACTCGGAATTTCACTCTGTTTTGTATTTTTTTACTATAATGTACCGTTGTTTCATGGGATTTGTAGGTTTTGTGAAGTTTCTTGTTTTCTGCAGTGTTATTCTCCTAGATGTTCACATCGATTTGAGCGTTCAGTTTCCATTTTGAAGCACGAGAACTCTCATTTTGACTTTTCAGCAGAATCCCATTTTGCCAATTTTGCAAAGTTGTAAATTCTTCAGCTGCTCACTGCTACTTGTCGTTTATGTTTCGTGAATCTGATTCACTGCTTCTTATCAAGGCCATGCCAGTAGGAGAACCTCATTCAGAGATTGGGAAAGGACAAAATGCGCTCAAAAGATTGAACCGTTGGATTTCACGAGGTTAGGGTAGGAGTCATTGTGGGTGAAAATGCATAGTTGGCAAGAGTTCTGCAACGAAAAATTCCAAGCGTTAAAAATTTGTATTAAAAATGATCCACGGTAGCAGTGGTGCTATACTTCTAGGACATTTCCCTGGCAATCAAAACATGAGTATACATGGGCAAGCACGTAGGCTTCCGCAGCATCACCGCCAATGAATGGGCGTTACCCCATCATCTTCTACTGGGCATTCCGAGGGAAAAACGCGGGTGTAGCGGCTTAAATTAGCAGCAACCTATTGGATGCTAGCGCTGCTTACCTAATTAACGGTCAGATCAACAATTGGCGAGCGCGCCTCCATCTCAGCTGGACTTCGACTGACTAGAGTTCTTTTTACAGATGAGTTCATTTCCTATTTGTTTGGAAGCGATGTCCATTTGAGGAAAGGTTTGATCAAAAGTACACCCTCCCCACAACCAAGCATGGTGGAGGAAGTGTGATGGCATACAGTGCTCGAACAGAAAGGACCGTCTGGGTTTTATTAGTTTTAGGTCCATTGTTCGTATGCCCACCATCTTGATCTTGGGAAGAAATTACCGTTCTTTTACTCCTTATTTTCTATAGAGAGGTGTGGTAACGTGAGGAAGTGAAGAATGAAGAAGTGAGGGAAATAGTAGACTGATTATTAGAGAGAGAGTATAAAATGGATGGTAATGAGCAATAAATCATTCTCCCCCTCGTCTCCTGTTTACACACACAAACTGGCGATCAGCCGAACGTGATGGAAGCAGCACAAGGAGTGAAGATGGAAACCGGCAACAGCCCCACCGGAAGAGCCACGATGGAGATACCGGTACTGAGGTGTACCGAGGTCGAGCCCCGGGGCCCTATGTCCAGGGGACATCGTGGCGAACCTGGTGGAAGCTGTTCGCCAAGTTCCTCGTGTTGAGGAAACTAACACAAGAGGGGGATCAGCGGCTTACATTTCTGCAGGAAGTGGGTAACTCGAATTACTAGTTGCTGGAGTCACTCCTGCAGGGACGCGGATTGGAGGAAGTTCCATTGAAGGATCTACGGGCAGCGATGGAGCAGCATTACCAGCCAAAAAGCTGGTATTGGCAGAACGATTCGGGCTAATGTCGAAGACACAGAACAGTCGCTCAAGGACAGCCGCTGCATGAGTATTACGCGGAGCTCCAGAAAGCGGCGAATACGTGTTGTTTCGAAGAAATCGAGGATCATCGGGATGCAGTAGTGACGATGGTCTTCATCGTTGGGTTACTTTCTATAGAGACGAGGAAGCGCCTTCTAGAGAAAACAGCTATCCTCGAAGGAAGCGCTCGAGCGGGCGGAAGCTTTCGAACGTGTAGGAGTGAATGCTCCACACCCTAAGGAAGGCCCGCAGCAAGTTCAGCCGGTGGAAGTGGCTTAGGTAAGAACACGGAAGGATGAGCGTAACCGACAGAGGCCAGGGCGCGCGCATACGAAGGAACAAAAGGGAAGGCCGAGCAGGGGCCCAGCTCGGAAAGGTATGAGATGCAGGGTTTGCGGAGCGTTTGGCCATGCCGATCATGAGTGTTTCAGGAAGGAGGAACTTACCGAAAGGCCGGGGTTGCGACGATCCAAACGTAAGCGGCAGGAAACCGCTAGAATGAGGGATTATGGAGAGAATGGGAAGCGTAGGAAGATTGGTACGATAAGGAGGATAGAGTTGCAGAATGTAAACAAAAACAGTGATAGCTTGCAGGGACCTATAAAAGAGGGCGGAAGAAGTATGCACCTCAATTATGTCTTCGCCAGCCCAACTACCTATTCTCGTCGGGGGGGGGGGGGGCGGCTCGAGCCCGCAGGCGAGCCCCCCAATTTTCGTATTCCCGACCGGAAGCAATGGAGCGGCGGCGACGGGGCCGCACTCGGCACCCGCGGTGGTGCCGGTGGTGTGGACCCCGTCGGAACCACAAGTGGCGGCGGCGAAGAAGCCGAGACGTCATCCGCAGCGCCGTGGCAGGGCGTGTGGGCGGCGCTGAAGGGCATACAGCGGGACGTCCACAGAAGAAGTTACAGCCGATCTTCAAGAAGAGAAGTAAGAAGCCGCAGCCGCCCGTCAAGAAGACGTTCGAGGAGCCACAGTCGATCACCAAGAAGACAAGCAAGAAGCCGCAGTCGGTCAGTGCGGCGACGATCGCGAAGCGCGGATCCGGGCCGTGAGGCCATGAGAGATGACCCTCAGTGAGGGGTGATGTTTGATATAAATAATAAAAATGTTTGAAATACTGTTGGTGTAAGAAGAACAGTGGATGAGGAGGAGGTGACAGAAGGTTGAACCTCCTCACACCATAGGGCACGCTCCTGGTACATGTAGTGACCGTAGGAGTCACTAGGGGGAGGTGTAGAGGGGCGCGGTAACGTGAGGAAGTGAAGAATGAAGTGAGAGAAATAGTAGACTGATTATTAAAGAGAGAGAGAGTATAAAAAGAATGGTAGTGAGCAATAAATCATTTTCCCCCTCGTCTTCTGTTCACACACACAACTATTGTATATGTAGTTGCATACAAAACGAACTGTGCTCTGCCATGAAGCGATTAATGTACTCCTTCACGTTGTGTTCATATCAATTAGTGTTAGTTATAAAACAAAATCGATTCAGAGAGGAGGAAGCTGCCAATTCCTAACGTCCTACCTTCTTTGATAATTACTTATAGCTTGCTTTCGTACTTTCTGTGTATGCCTATCCAAGTCAGTGCACATACTTGCCACGCCGTAATCTAGAAAGAACTCATTCTATCAGGCTTCTCCAGGTTTTAACAGGTCTTCACGAAGAGCATGCTTCGCGAACCCTTTGTAAGATCGCGAAGCGGCCCAACAAGATTGTTGAATCAATGTTAGTTCAAAACTATTGTGTTCCAGTAAAATTCCACTATTATGAATGTGTGTGCGAGTTGTCATCATTTCGTAATCTGACTTGTATTCTAATTTCACCACACCTCTGTTTCATCTCTTATCGGCTCTGTCGTTCTATCTATCTATAAGGGAACAGTACGAATGAGATGTACCGCAAGCATAGCTGCAAGAATATCCTTATTCACTTCCACTCGGCTCACCCCAAAAGAACAAAACAGTCTGTCATCATAAACATGGTCAGAGTTACCAGCAGGGTTTCTTCTGATACCGATCTTATGACAAGTCAGTGGACATGGCTCGAAAGGTCGCGCGGTGTAATGGGAATCCTGGCTTCCATCAGGAATCGCAACGTGACGGACAGTTCACACATCGCAGACTTCACGTGATCTACAAGATGAAGTCAAGGTTTGGAAATACCTCTAGGAAACCTTAGCCGGAATTTGACCGGAAATCGTCCCTACGATAGTCTGTGTGACACACTGATTGATTGTGTATCCGTTTAATCTAAGAGGTGACTGCATGAAAGTTGGGGCCATTTGCCAAATTCAATGCCACGTCTGCGATGCTGAGTATGTAGGTTGACCAGGGCGCCCCCTTCGTACGCGAATCAGGGAACATCTGGAAGGCCCAAGGAAATCTCGCATACAAACACCTTTAGGAGTGCTTCGAATTAGTGCTATGGTTGTAGCGAGTTCGCAATTTTAGTAGCCATCTTGGCGATAAAAGGTGTGCCTTTACCAACTTTAATCAAGCAGTGAATCTCGGAAAGACTTAAAACAGCACAAAAAACAAGCCTAGCTGTGCTGAGATTAAGAAAGAGTCGAAAATTGTCCACACTTGAAAATATTCTGAAGACGGCGTTGGAGGACGAGCCTTCTCAATGAATTACCAGCCGTAAAGAGTACGAAGATCGTGAAAGCAGTAATAATTCAAAGAAGACACTAAGCTAATTATATAAGCTAAGGTTTAAAAGTTACTGTGAGGAAATTTGTACATCGTTCGCTAAAGTGCACGTAGAAAAATTTCGCTTCCTCAACAATGGAAGAACTGGGTGTTCCTTGCAGCTAACTATAAAGAAAATAAAGCATTTCGTATCTTTTTTGTATCATGTGCCACTGTACTGGTGTGCTCACAGCAAGTGCAGCACGGAGAGTTGATGTAGATAGAAAGACGTCGCCACTGTTCTTTGTCATTTGGTGGTGAATTTCAACGAATATATAACAGCGGCTGTAAGAGGCTGTTTGCTGATGTAAGCTGGATCCAACTTTGCTAATATTTTCGGATCAGCAGGATTGTGCCCAAAGTATATTTTCAAAGCTAATGGCTAAGTTTAAATTGCAACTCATTCTCAATACAACTTGAAAAAGAATGCTTAATGGACAATCTTGTCCATCGTTCTGGCAAGGATGAGGACGAAGTCCTCAAGCTATCGTTCAAGGTGAAGATGGGTCTACACAACATCTCAGGAAAGTACCATTTGGTCCAGGATGGAGGCACCACGATGACATAACTTTCTTGCGAGTCCGTTTTGGGGAACATAACTGTAATGGTGGGATGAGGTGCTTGGAGTTACCGACCCAAGTGACAAAGGGCTTTTGATGGGTAGGAAAATACGTAAGTTAGTTATAGAGACGATTCTGAATTCGGAATTCCTTTGATATCGCTCATAGTTATGATCATATGGTTCGTGGTTAGAAACAATTTGTTAATTTTGTTTTGTTAAATAATTTTGTTTCTCTTGAACTATCTTTAAGGCTGAAAATTGTGTAGTTTCATCTGTAGTTTGATTATAGTGACGCCACTAGTGTTGGAATGAATAAAAAAGTGGTGACGTGTCTAGTGTTGGAATGAATAAAGAAGTGGTCTTTGATGTGCAGCTGGACGACACATTCCATAAACAAGATACAGCTTAAGACTAGTCACATTGATCATCGCAGTTGGTAGAGACCGCGGCCTTGCAATGGAACGTTGACAGCTGTGGATGTCCAGAGGTTACATAAGTTTGTTAAGAGGCTGATGAAAAACTTGCCTTCTGCTAGCATGGTGACAAATGATGCACCTTTCTTCTAAGATGGCTTCTGTGTTGTTTTCCCAGAAGCGCACAGCCGCATTCACTTCTGCAGATTCTGCTTTAGGCAGACGAACTCGACGAAGTCAGAGGCGATTTTGATGTTGATATGAAATAGGATCGAATTTTGGGTCTCACTGCTCTCGATGTTGAGCAGTACCCTTTAGCGTCCGTTTAAAAAAGTGCAGCGAAGCGAGTTACAACGGCGCTTTGCGAAGTTACTCGCTTACCTCCGCACAACGAACGAAAACGACGAGATAATGAAAATATAGAAAGATTTCTCGGTATTTGTCGCGATTAAGACAAGAGATGATGAAGTTCACTCACTCGCAGTTCACTTAAAGGTTCTGTGTTGAATCTTTCAAAGTGTTAATTAATCTCACTCTGTGTTGATCTCACTTAAAGGAAATCTTTTTGAAGGTTCTGGTGTGCTTTTATAGAGAGGAGGCAGAGCTGTGCTTTTTACGAACGAGGATACCATTCCCGATACTATTATGATTAACCTGAGATCATCGACTGAGAAAGACGAGTTTCTTTACCGAATTGCCAATAGTGGTCTCGACGGTTTCCTTGAACTTTCAACAAAATCAGTCGAAGGCATCTATGAATCCGTCGGAGTGAAGGTAAAAAAGCATAGAGAAGATGGAAAACACGGAGACTCGAGTATATCGCTTACTACACCACCGTAGGATGCCGTGGTTTGCAAGCGGCACAGAACCGTCGTAATTTGCGCGCATCGAGGCCTGACATGGTGATCAACGTAGGGAGGAAGAGAGGGAAGGCCTAGAAGAGGGGCTCTATGAGAAGCTTTGGAGTTCCGTACGCAGGGCCATCCTACGATGACTAAATCACTTTATAATTCTGCGTTCTGTTATCCAGTTATCGGCAAATGTGCTCAGACCAACATACTGTCTTTTTTGTAGGTCTGTTCTTATGCATGGAGCTGCACATATATAGATAACCGGAGCGGATTCAGTTGTCCCCATAGGCATGCTATCGGGATGCAGAACTATGAGGTTATCTCTGTGGATGAAGCAGGTGCAATGGAGGGGCCCTCGATAGAGAGGCCTCGGAGCCCTGCTTGATTGCACATATGACTATAGCTCAGGTGAAGCACGTTACTGCAAACTGGGTGCCATATAAAGTTTGGGTGTTTAGTCAAAATTAGTCCGTTGGGACGATTTCAAAAGCTGACAATATTGATAGTTTTTTTTCAGACATATTCTCAGTAGCTGCTACTGCTGTTTCGTTAGACGTTCGTCATAGAGACGAAGCAGCGAATCAGCGTGAAGAAATGCCTTTTATGCAATTATCAGCAATTATGCAGCTTTCACCGTCAGGCACTCTGGCTCCCTCCCAGAGCTGGAGCGAGTTGAAGGGAAGCCACAGTTATCCAAAATCATTAGGCGTCTAAGCGAGTTGCGTTCAGATGCACACCATGAAGGCTGAACAATGATGGGTAAACTAGAGCTACTTACAAAAAAGTAAATACCTCATGTGCGGTCCAAGTCAATTCGTATATCGTAATAACTAACAACTCGTTCTGAGAGATATTGTTTCCTTGTGTTGTTTCATGAGAAAACTGTCGTTGAGGAGGTAAAAGATATTACAATCGACACTCAAGTACTGCCCCAATTGCAACTACATATACATAGAGGAATAAGAAGTGCCAAACAATTGACAACATAAATGAATAGAACAAAAAACAAAACCAGCAAAACTCGCATTGTCAAGAACCTATCTAATCTCCTTCTTGAAAACACACCGAGGTCGTTTGCTGCAGTTCACGACAACAGGTGTAAATCCCAAGATGAAGATTAATACACTGGTGTGCAAAACTTAGGGACGAAATGGATAATGTAACATAAAGCATCAAGGAGTGGAAAAAAATGAAAGTGTGGGAGTATATTGCCAGACCTGTAACGGGTATGCTAGGGAGCTGGACTCTCCTTCGTGGAGCGATAGTTCAAACAAGGCGCGAAATATGGGTGCCCGCGCAAATCGAGGCAATCGATAGGTAATAGAAAACAAAATTTTGAAATCAGCGAGTTGCTACAAAGTACTGTTTTGGTGTCCTTCTATGCATCATGTTCCACAGACGCCATCTGGATGACTTCACACGAGGAAGGATCATCGGGAAACAGGAGGAAGGTCGAACTACGACCAGTGTGGCTCAGGAGCTCGGTATCGCTCACAGCGTCGTTTCGCGTGCATGGAGAGCATTCCAAACCACTGGCACTGCTGCCCGAAGGAGAGGAGGTGGTCGGTCAAGATCAACCACACCAAGGGATGACCGCTACATTGTGCAGCAGGCAAGAAGAGATCCACGTCAACCAGCTTCGGTGATTGCAACGGCGTTTAACAGGACCTCAAGGCAAGCCATCTCAAGCACCACAGTGGTACGACGACTGCGCGGTAGCGGTCTGTTCGCCCAACGACCGCTACGATGTGTTCCTTTGACCCTCGCGCATCGGCGAGACCGTTTAGGGTGGTGCCAGGAGCATAGCGAGTGGACCGATGAAGAATGGAGTCGCGTGCTCTTTTCGGATGAGAGCAAATTCAGTTTGAGTAGTGATTCTGTACGGACCCTTATATGGCGAGAGGTGGGAACACGCAACACTCCCAGAAACATTGTCGAGCGGGACCGTTCTGGTGGTCGAGGTGTTATGGTGTGGGGAGGCATCATGACGCATAGCCGCACTGATCTCCATATTTTTGAGCGTGGAACCCCTACCAGTCAGCTTTACTGTGACGAGGTACTCCTTCCTTATGTGCGTCTTTTCAGGGGTGCAGTGGTTCCTGAATTCATTTTCATGGACGACAATGCGCGACAGCACCGAACAGAACAGGTGGAGGAACTCCTGGCACAAGAGGATATCCGGCGAATGGAGTGGCCTGCCCGTTCCCCCGACCTAAATCCCATCGAGCACGTGTGGGATGCACTGGGTAGGCGCATTGCAGCACGTTCAAATGCACCAGTGACCATCCAGCAGTTGTCAATTGCGCTGAGAGAGGAGTGGAATGCTCTATCACAGGAACTCATTACCAACCTCGTGGAGAGTATGGGATCGCGTTGCATAGCATGTATTGCTGTCCGTGGTAATCACACACCCTATTAGGAACCGCGTGGCTTTTCTTGAAGGACCAGGATGAAATGAGGAGGCTTATGTGAAACCAGTGCCTTTGAATAAAAATGTCATATCTTATCGCCTTATTTCGATTTTCTGTCAGTTGCTTTCTATGCAATACCGTTGTGGTATGGTATGAATTTCACCGAGTTCTGCTGCCTGGCAGAGGTACAGTGATCAAAAGTTGCTTTCGTCCCTAAGTTCTGCACACCAGTGTAGTACACTAATTCACTTAGCTGCATCACACTTTGAACGGAGGAAGTGGCTTTAAACTTGCCTGCAGAAGAAGCAGAACAGAATCGGAATAGGACGCATCGAATCAACCAATACATGAAGAATAGGAGAACAAGAAGATAAAGGAAAGGTAGTGGAATATGAATGTGACCGCTTCAAATTGTATTCGAAACTGCAGAAATTTCCAATGATAAACGCGATAGCGCGGCATGGCAGGTGCTATTTCTCTGTCGGATATTCCGTCAGGAGAGTGATTCCTTCCGACAACATTCCGAACCATTTCTCGACAGCACAGTGAACTTCAACGATCTTTATCATTCCTGTGTTTGAGTTAAGTAACGTGGTGCAGAAAATTGGTAGTGTTGCGAGCGGTCGAGCGAAGGCTCAACAGCTTCGACGATGTTAGTTAGATGTGTCCCAGAGAGAATGGCCGTGGATACACGGCCACACCTGAGTGCAGTATGACGGGTGTGTGCCGATTCGTGCGAATCTGGGTGCGCGCGGCAAATTGCGCGGCGGAATTCGGAACGACTCTGACGCCTATTATTGGGGCACAAACTTGAAGTAGAATAGTTGGGTGTGGTCAGCTGATCCTACTAATCCACTCTACTTTAAGTTTGTGCTGCAATAGTAGGCGTCAGAGTCGTTCGAGTCAACACGAATTCCGCCGCGCAGTTTGCCGCGCGCACCCGGAATCGCACGAATCGTGCGTCCCCTCAGTATGACTGACAGAGCGAGGGGACACCAAGTATATTGGGTACATGTTGTTTGGCCCTTTGCAACGACATTGCCATTGCAATGGTTTTTATTTCTCACCTATGCACCGCCTACACAATTGGACACTCGTCCAATTCGTCCTAAGAAATGGTAAGCCGGGCCCTGCTAATGTGGGCTGTGTGATGTGAATGGATTTGAAGTATTGATGTGAATTTCAAAAAGTCTATTATTATGCATTTTATAGGGGGATGGATGGAGCTAATAACTTCTGATACTCTTTACAATTTCCTTACTTCCTACCAGATTATAAGGAATGCTTAAAAGTTGAAGTATCTCTCAGTCTCCTCACCCCATCATGTCTCGCGATTAGGAGCAAATGGTTTCTGATTCAACGACGCGTGTTAAAAACGCAGTTGCAGTTTTGCAAGACACAATGATCAGGTGTCGAGATTTAGCATTATAACATATTCTTCGCTATGCCCCAGAATGTCGGCGGTAAGTAAATGTGTGCGTAAGTGAGTGCCAACGACAAAAAAGAAGTCACATGCGATTAAGTTTCTGTCAGAAACACTACAAAGTGAAGGGGTGCAACGCGCCTCGCACCTGTCTTCCGACCGAATTTTCGAAGGTCGTGATAAACCAAAAAATTACAGGCAAACAAAATGATCTTCGGCCAGCACTTATGGCGACGAACAGATGACGAGATGTATCATATACTTCGCGATCTACCAGAATGAGGGCGGTAAATGAATATGTGCCTACGTGCCAACTACAGGAGAAGAGTGAATTAAATGCCTTCAATTACTGTCAACAACAACTTCGACAATGGAATGGTGGGGCAAGTCACACTTCTGCCCTTCACTCAAAATTTTGAAGATCGTGTAAAAAAGATGTTTTCAACTAGGATGGTTTCCCACATCGACTATGGAGACCATAAGTAGATGTGATCCGCCCATATATTGCTGGCTCTCAGTAAAACAAAAAAGCTCAGACGAATGTATGCTATCGGTTACCTTACTTCCTACCAGCTTATAAAGAATGCTAGAAGTTCAAGGATCTCTGAGTCTTTGCTCCTCATCTCACCATTTGCTCCTAGTCTCGCGACAAGGAGCAAATGGTTTAACGTCATGAAATAAATTTACCTCTCATAAAATTAGCTTCCTCCCGTGTAGCCAAGTACAACAAGAGGAACCAAACTGGTCTGGGTTAACAAAGTACAAAATAAATGATATAAGACTGAATTCAAACTTCTTTCAGCGAAATAATGCAATCGATTGCTATACCAAAGATACTGCGTCGTGTATAAATACAATGCGATATAGACTTAAAAATTTTGCGAGGGATCTATGTACTTAAGAATGCATGTATGGATGCAACTTCGCACGTGCACCTGCATTTAACCTACGACCACGAACTTCAAGTGGAAACACCCTTTACCCCATTTCGCTTTTCTGTATGACCACTCACTTACCCACTCATTCAACACTGAACAAGGAATAAGGTTTCGATTGTTTTTTCGACGGAAAGTGACAAGATATGAAGATGCGAGGTGCGTCATGTGCTTGAATTTTGCTTAGTTTTTCTTTGGTATAGCAATCGATTGCATTATTTCGCTGAAAGAAGTTTGAATTCAGTCTAATATCATTTATCTTGTACTTTGTTAACCCAAACCAGTTTGGTACTCTCCTTCCTGCTGCTTCTTTTGAAATTAATTTTGCCATATTGCCCTCCCTTTTCAACAGAAAATGACCAGAATTCAAAAGGCAAGGTGCGTCTTATACTTGAAGTTCATTCAAATTCTTAGTGGTATTCACACTGCATCAGCGCTCAATTTCTGTTGGTTTGTTCTTTTGTTTTTGTTGTTTCGCCTGCTCGATGTTGGGTGTTATAAGCACGTTGTCATCTGCAAAGCGGAGATGATGTAAGTAGCGGCCGTCGACCTTCACTCCCATGCTTTTCCATTCCGTATGACGCATGACGTTCTCGAGAGTGGCACTCAAAAGTTTGGGCGAGGGGTTGCCCTATCAGACACTCCTTCATGTTGATGATGACTCTCTTGTAGAATGGTGAAATCCTGGTCGTGAAGTTGTCGTAGAGCTCATGTAGCATCCTCATTTATCGAGCCACGATACCGTCAAGACAGAAGCGGTAATGGAAACCGTGGTTGCCCAGGGCTCTAATTACCGCTTCTGTCTTGATGGTATCAAGGCTTTCTTCTAATCGGTGAACGTAAGACATAACGACATTCTCTACTCCCGCGATACTTCAATGAGTCTTGTAATGGTGTGGATGTGATCGGTTGTACTGAACCCTCTCCGAAATCCTCCACGGTCGCATGGCTGTCCTTCATCTAATGTTCTGCCAATCCTGTTGAGGAGGACTCGTGTGAAGAGCTTATAGATTACAGAAATCAGGAAAATTGGGCGATAGTTGCTAATGTCGTCAGGCCTCCCTTCGCAACACGGTGTTGCTGGTTTTCCACGAAGTGGGCACTTCGCATTGCGACAGGTTCCGCGGTAAAAGTCGAGCCACGGTTCTGACAATGACTGGTGGAAGGCTCCTTCGATGTTCTGCTTTAGTCCTGCCAGGACCAAGTGCCGTACCATTCCTCATCGACGTGATGCACGTCCATCCGTCCTGCCCAAGATTGTAGGAAGGCAGGTAGATGTGGCTGTCGAAGAGATCAGAGAGAAGTCGAAGATTACCGCCCCCATTGCGCTTCGGTTTGCAGAAAATACCGTAAAGACGACGAAATGAAGTCATTTTGGTCTTATAATTGGTGGAGCTCCGGCGGGCTTTGCGAATGCTCTTCCCAGCATCTGTCGAAGCATCAGTCGAAGCTGCTGCTGTTGTCTCTTTCAGATCTTCCTCTATCGCTTCTCTGTATAGCTTCGCAAGTTCGGACGTTAGCTTGATGTGGCCGCAGCTCGCGCGATTCTACGCTGGCGTCGTATTGAGGTCCCTCTCAGGTTCAGGGTAGTGAAGCTCATTTTTATCACTGTTTTTGGCATATGAGTATCCACGTGTGGGTTGCCAGGCTCTAACACCTGTAGGGCCCACTCTTAGCCGTGTAGACATGCAAACTTGCCGTTAAGTTATATACATACACTTTTTTATAGATATAATTTATATAAAAAATATACTATATAAATTAACGGCAGATTTAGTTTTATTCATATCTTTTTTTTATACAAAAAAACAGTAGCAAGAGCTTCCGGTCGACACCCGGTGGTAAAGACGAAAGCATGTGGCAGGGCTCCTCTTTTGGTGGGCAGATATTTTTCGAGCAGATCCTTTTACTTGGTCCACAACGCAGCGAAATAGACGTAAAGTACCGTAGCTGCTATGGGTAGCAGAACGCGTGAAGAACGAATGCAACCGCGATCCTGGGCGGACAGACAAGGGGACCACGATCCCTCCAGTTCCTCGACAACTACCTAACAACAACTTCGAACATGAAGCGGCAAGCCGGTCAATATGTAGCCTAGAATAACTGGAAATTGCATTTTGCATTAGTGCATATGATGAAATACTAAAAATTTACAAAAACCCGGATTTTTTTGTTCACATAGTAAGGGTAGTGAAAACGGACATGCCCAAACGCTACACTTTTCACCCTCCCACTGCGTTGAGGTGGTAGGCTAGCTGGGGTCGAGCAGTAGGAAAGTTACAAATTACGAAGGCAGCGGGGCCGGATAGGGTACATCGAGGTATAGAAAGCGCTTGGAGAGCACGAGATGAGATGGCTCCCTCTATTCCCGATTACTGTGTCCACTGAAAGAAGAATATCAGGGTCGGAGAAGCACTACTACCTTCCCTATCTTCAAACAGAAGGGATGCACAATGGAGTGATCCAACAACCGTAGCGTCGGGTTGAAAGTTCACACCAGGAATTGTAAGACTCAGGAATAGGGGAGTTTGTCTCAATATTCGTTAGGAGGAGCTCGTTTCCATGTCAGGAAGGTCTCGTAAGAAGCGAAGACCCTTCTAGCTAACCTTCCCTTCTAGCTATCTGGAGAACACTTTCGAAGACTTCCCACGACAAGTCTTCTGAGGGGCTGGCAACCCGGGAGCGAAAGCTTTTCGTACACCTGACCTACCTCGTCAGGGGAATTCAATGTCAAAGACTGCATTACGCACCCTCCACTGCCTGAAGGCAGTCCTCAAAAATTACAAGGTAACTAGTTTCAAACGAGTACACAAACGAAGTGGTAGGACAAAATAGTGCAATAGTGGCGAAGGAAACGCAAAAATTGGGATATCTAAGGAAGTATGAGGTTCCAAGAAATAATAAAATCAGGTTAGTATGAGAATGTGACTACAAAAGCTGCATGGGAACGGCATTTAGACGAGCTGTCCAAGTGTGTGTGCGTCATTCCTTACAGCTAACTGCAGTAAGCTGCCCGCGTGCAATATGTGCGNCTACAAAAGCTGCATGGGAACGGCATTTAGACGAGCTGTCCAAGTGTGTGTGCGTCATTCCTTACAGCTAACTGCAGTAAGCTGCCCACGTGCGTTTTGGTGCGAACTGTGCAACCTCTACAGCCGCCATGTTAACTTGTTTTCATCTGGTGTGCGTGTGGGCGTAGCCGTTCTAGGGTCCCTTATTACGCTTTATCTAGGCAGTTTTTCGACCCGACAGCGCCCCCTGTGCTATTTTCGGGGTTCATAGGTCCATACTAGAGAAAAAGATGGCAGAAATCACTTTTACCGTACTGTGCCTTTATCAAAATTAGTGGACGGCTGCGGTTTAACGAGGGCCAGTTCTGTGCCTGGTACTCGTTTTTGCTTACAGTATATCACATCACAAAAGAACTCATGGTTGACCACATACTCTGGGCTGATGTAGTTGTTTTGATAGTGGAGAGCAGAGAGGAACTCCATGAAATGTCAGAATATGTTGGCTGAAAGTGGGTGCAGCTGAACGAAAGCAGAACGTTTCGTGTAGTGGAACTAATCATCGATGTAACTTCTCATCCCCATCCCAGCATTCCCGGAAGTTACAATTTCGAGTTCTATACACTATTTGTTTATAAGTGTGGATTTTTCACTCAGAACATTCGGAGTGGGATGTCTTCAAAAACTGTTTTCATCGCTTTCTCATGCGCAATTTTTACTATTTTTCATTCATTTTTCGTTGCCTTGTTACTCGACAGGACCCGTTCAAAGTTTGACAAGGCTAAGTTCATTTTGTTAATTGAAAAAAATTGAGTCTCTGGTTATTGTCAAAAAAAATGAAAGCTACGTCATATACCATTCTAACGTCATGGCAATGTACTTAAGCTTTCACAGATTATTCATTCAACATATAATAGCTATCCAATGATGCCCTGTGGTTTGCTTAGCATTTTTTAACTTGTTCATAACTATGCGAGCACCTTAAAGAGGGCTGAAAGGTTCTGTAGCGTCTTCGAGTAATCAACGAAATTGAGTTCAGCTCGTGAGGACATGCAACTTTTTGATGGACGGTGACTGGGATAGCGTCGAAAGATATCAAAAAATTTTGATTTCGAGATCTTTTCAAAAAATTGTGTTAATTTTGAAGCGATTGACCAACTCCGACTTCTTTGTTCGCTCTCAGCCACTTTCTTCCATATGACAACATAACCAATAACATCTGCATTACGAACTAATGTCTGCAAGGGTTTCAATAATCCAATCTCCGTTATGCGCACTCTGATATTTCCCATGCACTCGTTTTTGTTTGCGAACGTAGTGATGCAAATTCATTCAAATGGGTGTGTAACAGTACCAGGTGGACTGCGAATTGTAATTTTATCCAGCAATCTAGTCAGAATTTGCTGTGCGTAGAAACTTAGGTAGAGACGATTTCTATTCCACTGATCACATGTTGGGAGCAAATTAAGCGTCGAACAAGGTGAAGGCGTTGTGTGGGCCAAAAAAGTCAACGTGGAACTCAGCGCGTATAACCAGTTCTTAGTACAAGTCTGGGAAGACGCTCACTGGAGACTACCAGACTTTCTGCTCCTACAAAATCTCTCACAATGACAATGCTCATGGTAAGTGATTAAGTGATTACAATCAACCCCTAGCTAAATTTATTTATTTATTTATTTATGTATACACTCTACTGGGTGCGTTACAACTAGAAGCAAGTAAACCATCCACCGCCACTAAGTGAAATTAGGAAGGGAGAGAGGATAGAAACACTGGTGAGGCAATACCTAGAAGCTGCAATGATAGTGAGTTCCATGAAGATGCTCTTAAAACCCGTAACCGCACCAGTTGACCATGGTGCCCTCATTCCGGAAGAGTCATAGAATCAAGGCGGAACTTCGGCACGCAGGTACGCCAACTCCCCTCGTGGAATCGATTTGTATGCTACTGGCTGAATGGCAAGAAGTGAACGGTTCTGCCGGACGTTTTGCTGAATTAGAACCATCGAGATAAGCTGGCTAGGCAGCGGTGGCGAAGGACTGCAACTTCAAGAACACTAAAAAAGAAGTCCAAGCAAATAACAAGGACAAAAAAAATACAAACCCAACGTGGAAAATGAAAACAAGTAAAAGCAACTCATAGAGAGACATATTATAGAAAAGAAGATAGTCTCATGCAACAAAGTTCCTAAAAAAGAAAAAAAGTAGCGACACAGAGGTTCAGTCAAGAGAATCCGGATCCAGGATGTGCTGTGAGGTGAACTGTTGAGATTAAGAAGCACTTCATCGCGAGCATCAGCAGAACATAGATTTATGAAAAGCGATAGCAGTACTGTTGAAGATGCTGGACTCTCGTCGTGCCGTGAACGACGATTGAAGAACGACGGGAAGCTAGGAGAAACTTCCAGCGCTGGAATAGGAAGCGGGATCTGCAATATCTAGAATAGAGAGTATATCTATTTGATTGAGTCTTTTCTTCAAAAACAGAAATGTTTTTAGCATTCAGAATGCTAGGTGGGAGCATCTGCATCTGGCGCCTTGAAGAGAAAGGGAGTTGAGGGTCTTGTCTTGGTAATATCTGCAATTCGCCCCTCTAAACAGAAAGCTAGATCGATGAATACGCGTCTACAAAGAAGGCTTCTCAAACCATCTCTTTAAACTTACTTTATAAAAAGCACAGGGGTACTACTAAAGTTGGATGCGCCCCTATACACTAAAATCCTAGTAAGTGCTTGCTAGACCTTCTCAATTTGCATTTGATACTCACGCCTACTCGGGCTCCTCACCTGTAATCCGTACTCCAAGATAGGGATGACATAGGCCTTGTAAAGTCTAAGTGAAATTGAGCAGTCATTGCTCTGTACATTTCTGCAGATTGCAAGAAGTACAGAGATCGCCTTGTGAACTATACACCTTATATGTGGTTCGATATTGAAATCAGAGTTCGCGAGAATTCCTAGATCGCGCACTTTATTAACTTTATTGAGAACATAGCTACCAAACTTATATTCTTTGTATTTTGTCTTGGCAATGTGGAAAATAATTGTTTTGGGTAGATTGACAGGTATATTCCAAGCGAAGGCCCACTCCATCATCTTGGAAATGGATTGGGAAAGAGCACGAAAAACCCCGTTCATATTTTCAGCATAATATACTTCGAAAATTTCGATATCATTCGCGTACATGCGTTTTTTTCGAGCATTTTTAGCATCGATGTTTTCACTCATAACACATTGATCATACTTCTTTCATTGCTACCACAGTTTTTGGATAAGCAAAACTTTCATGAAATTTGACATTGGCTCGTCTGGAACCCGAAATGGCCTTAGAACTTATAAGATTGCGAGAAAATAGCTGCCTAGTCTA